TGGAGGAAGCAAAAATTCCCTTCTCTGCTTCCCTTTCAAATGGGATCAGTTGCAGAGGAGTCAGTGAGGGAAAGCATTCAACAATGCAATAGGCAGGCAGAAAAGCAAATGGGCAAGGACAGACACTTAAGAACCTGAGAAAAAATTTGATTGATTTAAAGAACACTACCTTTAATTTATGTGGTAACTTTGCAGAGAGAAGATTTATTTAGCCATTTGCATAGCTATGTAATTGCGAAGTAAGGGGTCATGTTGCTATAGCGGTCACTACCTCTCGCATATATTTTTCTCTTTAAAACCACATGTACTGTTTCTGCTATTCTGGCACTTTCAACAGATGTCATGCCTTTTTTTCTATGGTAATCATGCACTCTCTCACCAGTTTTTCTATATGCATGAATAATGTGTACACGTGGAAAAATATAAAGTGTACTAAATAAGACAATTTGACTTCAATTCTGCTTCCAGATACATCACTGGGTATCATGTAAAATCATTTCAAATTTAAGTGCACATAGTGAATTTACAAAACAAATGACTATATGTCTGCATATCTAAGAGCAAGACTCAAAAATAATGGAAATTGGATAAATGAAGTTATGTCTGACATGGAAAATGTCATCAGTCATGGTGGAAAAAGGTTTTGTAAAGATCTGTGCTTGCCTGCCTGCCTAACTCTTCTCCCCCCAGATATAAGTGTTCTTTACAGACTGCTTATATAAATGTGAGGTCTTTCCTCTAATGTCCCCTATTAGATTCCTATTTATGAAAATAATTATTCCCAGTGTTCTTTTTATATTAAGAAAATATGAGTAGGATACAAACATACCTGATCCAGCACAATTGTTTAAAGTGTGATTATTTTTATTTGTATCACAGTGGTACCTAGAGGTCCCAACTGAACTCAGGGCCCACTTGTACCAGGCACTGTGCATGCACTGTGCAAGTGAGACCCTGCCTTTATGAGCTTAACATTTAAACATACAAGACATAACAGAATCACAAAGAGGTTAAATGACTTGCCCAATATTATGCAGTGGGTCATTGCCACAGCTGGGAATAAAATCTGGATCTTCTGACATTCTCAGTCCAGTGTGCTGTCCACTAAATCATGGGGCCTCCTTTCATTTACGCTACTTGCTGCTTCTCCCATCAACATTATGGCCATTTGAAATGTAAGCTACTGGCTGCCTTTTACTATTAGGGAAAAGGCACTTTTTCTAGTTCATAATATGCTCGATTACCTTTAGATTGAGCCATGAATATATTATAATAAAAACAAAGTTATTCACTTTAAAGCTTTACTGGCTTAAGGTTTCATTGTTGATTCATTATGTTGTCAGTTCTCTATTGGCAGTGTAATGTTTTTTATATCTGGGTAGAGACAGTTTTAGTGGGAGATACGGTTATCTTTAAATGAGCAGGATTTAGCTTCTCTGGTGAGAACAAATTCATCAATGATGAATCCCTAGAGAAACAACTGAAACAAAAATCACAATGCTGCTAGAGATTTGTACAGTTCATCAGTTACAATGCAGTTTTGGGAAGTCTTTAGCAAGTTTTTTCCATTCTTTAATATATAGCACGATACAGCACTTTGTTTTGGGTGGCAGCTACAATCTTACTGTATGACAATAATGAACTAAGACTTAGAACACTTTCTACTGTCCTCTTTTTGTCTCCCCTGCTGTTGATATCCCCTATAAGTAGAAATAAATAACTACAGAGGTAACAAGATGTTGTAACTGATTGCACATCCATGAGACAATTCATATATTCACACACAATCTTTTTTGATAGGCAGGTATTAATATAAAAAATTCCTGATCTGTAGGGAGTTTAGTGATGTTGTAACCTTGGAAAGGTAAATAATATCTCAGGACATACATTTAGAACATATTGGGAGAATTTCAAAAGCACCCAATGGACTTAGGAGTACAAAACCAAGTGACTGTGTTTTCAGTGAGATGTGTTCCTAAACACAGTGTGTGCTTTCTAAAATTCCCCTTCTACATGATGTGAAAGCTTTTAGTGAAACCACTATCTCAGATATCCAGCTTTCCAGTAGTTAATTCAACAGCTATTTTTAACATATCTAATGATCCAGTACAATTTAAAAAAAATGTAAAGTGCTTCACATAGCATTCCAAGCTAAGCTGTCTGAAATCAAAGCACAGAAAGATCAGCAGTCTTATCAACTTCCTCACTTTATATACCAATGGTGAGCAATAAGTGGCCACTGTGGGCTGGATGCAGTTTGCCAGGGTTAGCCCCTGGCAGGCTGCTGTCATGTGTATCCACAGATATAGGCACTTACACTCCTGTTGGCTACGGATCACTGTTCCCAGCCAATGAGAGCTGCAGGAAGTGGTGTCCCAATCCATATTGCTCTGTCCAGCAGGGGTGATCTGCGGCCAGGAACGGTAATCTGTGGCCAACAGGAACGGCTAGCGGCTATACCTGCAGGCTCACAGGTAAATAAAGCAGCAGCGCCTGGCTTATTATCCACCCTTGGTCTATAGAGTATTTGTAATAAAAACCCTCTATAAACTTCAGAGGATTAGCCGTATTAGTCTGTTTCAGCAAAGACAAGAAGAAGTCCTATGGCACCTTAAAAACTTTTGGTATTCACACCTCTTTTGGCACTCACACCTTTTTTGGTATTCGTACTTTCTCATCAATTATTGGGAATGGACCACATCCAGGCTGGTTGAATTGACATCGTAAGCACTGGTATCAACATAATAATACAGCACGCTCATTTTTACATGTGTATATATACTTGCCAAACTGAAGTTTCCACTTCATGTATCTGATCAAGTGGGTTCCAGCCCAAATTAATTTGTTAGATCTTAATCTTAAAGGTGCCATGGGACATCTAATTGTTTTTCCCTCTATAAACTCCTTCCAGAATTCCTGAGCTACAGAGTCAGGTGTTATTTATAGTTAAAAAGGTTTCTGTGGAAACAAATAATTTTACTCTCAGAGAATAATAGCAAAAATAATCTTTTCAAATGGAAATTGTCCCTGGCTGAGTGAAAAAAAATCAATCATAAATCATGCTTGATAAAATTTGGTTTGTCTGTTTGTGAGTTACCACAGGGCCTAAAGAGAAGTGATCATTTTTTCCTTTTAATATTTAACACGTCAGCAGAAACAGCCTCATGATACAAATGAAGTTAGACCCATTTCATTCTGCCCAGAAACTATGTAAGTTGTAACATTTGAAACTTTCCATATCAAAATTGATTTTTGTGTATTTCTTTGATAAAGAAAGGCTTATTGCCTCAATAATTCACACTTCTCTAATTTGCACCCTTAATTCAGAACACAAATGATGGACTTTCTGCTTTTCCTCAAAATATATATTTTGCATATTTATAATTCATATTTTAAAATGTATTCACCTAGGCCCATGTTTAACCTTGTCAAATATTAAATATATGCAAAAGTAAAAGACACGGGTTCCCAACACAAAAGATTTGCTCATCATCCTCAAAGATTATCCAATTTTAGCAACTGTCCATCAGCAGAGCAACAAATAACCATCCCTGAGCCTGTCTCTTCAGTAAAAACCTGACAAAATATATTAGACTTACAACATGCCATGAAATTCAGCAAAATTAATTCCCTAAATATACAAAGGAAGAATCAAGAGCCCTGCCCTTCTCTTCAATCCCCTTCTCTTGGAGGTTTTAACTGCAGCACTGCCATTGCATCTGTACTATGCAGGGGAGAGGCAGCCTATTACTTACATAGGTACTACGTCATTTATAGAGGTCAAAACCACTGCCTTAAATTCCTTCTTGAAACTAAATTTTCTAAATTTTTTTGACATTGTTTCCTTTTGGACACGCTTGCAGGCTGAAATTATTACAATGAATTAATGCTAACGATAATCCGGGATATCTATCCTCTGCTACTAAGTACTAATTACTGTAATATGATTGCATTAGACTAGACTCTGAGCTTAGTTTATTCACTCAATTTAAATGCTCTCAATAAAAAAAATTTTCCCAGGGCTCACTCTGTTTTTCAAGCAGGAACCAGGGTTTCAGTCATTTTAATTCACAGCAATTTAATAGCCCATGATGACTTAGAAAGCAGTAGTTTTTCAAATCTGTACCATCTAGACCAGGTTGGGCAAATTCTGGCTGGACTAGATTCGATCCACATAGTTCTTCCCTGACAAGGCCCCACCTCTATATTTACCTTTGCCTCCGCCAAATCGGGTGATCACAGCTCTCATTTTAAGCATTCTAGCTTGTTGGCTGAGACAGAATACTTTAGTATTCTGTTATTCCTTCCACAAAAAGTATGTGTGTAATCAAGCCCAGATTTTAAAGAATCTAAAAGAGAGTGCAGACTGTGAATAGAGATAGAATTATGGAACTACCTGTGATAAAATTAAAATGTTTTAGTGCTTACCTGACACTTGCTAACATTATTCCAACAAGTCCAGATAACTTCTAAGCATCATATCTGTGTGGTCTTTATAAAGACTGTGGACATATGCATGTAGCTTTAAAACTATAGTTGGTGTAATAGGGTATCATAGTGGGTGTAGCACTGAACAGTGGCAGAGTTTCTTAAGCTGATCTTTACTTACTTTTATGATTATATCATATATCATGCATATCTGTCCATGCAGTGCTACAATAAAGGTGAGTTAGAATTATTTATATACAGTGAATAATATTTGTATATGTATGGTGCAATCACTCCATGGGAGTAATGGGGTTTGTTGAATGCTGTCTGCAATGCAGCTATTTTTTGTAACTGTGTATTATGATTTTAACATTCAAACTCTGTTATTGTTTTGTGGTCAGATCTTGAAGTTATGTCTCGGTTTTATTCATTTCTTAGTCACTTCAGTGGGAGCCTTCTTGAATAAGAAATGAATCAACACTCAGCAGGGCCTTGGGATTTGACCCTTTGTTGATATTCATTTATGTTTTTATATACTTGCTAAATAGCATATTTTCTGGTTTTCAATTTAGAAACTGCCTAGTTTTGGACCTTACCTTGAGCAGCGTAAAAAGATAATGGCTGAGAACAAGATTAAACTGAAGCAACAAACCACAACTGTTGTACTTCCTGAGAAAAAGCATTTTATTCCCAAGAAGCCCATTCCAGCTGTCAAGGTAACAAAATTAAATAAATATATTTAATAGTCATCAACCCCCACACTACTGATGTAACAATTATTATTAGCTGTTGAATTGGTTATTGTGTTTCTAAGTTTGCTATACAACGTGAAATAGTGTGTCAACAAAAAGGCAACCAATTTTATATTCAGGTTCTTTCAGCTTTTTAACAGAGTTAGGAAAAAATTAGCTCTTCTTGCTAATGACATTTGTCACATTCAAAAGGCATTTGTGCATCAGAACAATAAAGGTGCATGTGGGGAAAAGATGGTATTTTGAATAATAAATTTAAGGTAAAAATGTTTAAAAATCTCCATTCATTCTGGACATATCCATTTTTGATTGATCAGCTTGAGACACTTAGATCTCAATTTTTAGAGGTGCTAAGTGCTCACATTTCTTCACTGTTTTCAGTAGAAACAGTTCCACATGTAGAAAAATCTGGACAAAGGTTTTCAAATTGGATACCTCAAACTTGAAAATTATTGCCTATATGATTTCTCCTAAGTCACACAGTGACTCAGTAACAGAGTCAGAATAAAGTCTCAACTCTCATGTCTCCTACATCACAGCCTAATGTTCATTCCCATATACCTGAGACCAGACCAGATCATTGCCTCCCGAAACAGGTCCTGTTTTCTCAGCTGAAAGAAGGATTCTGTAACGTAGGAGAACAACGGAAACATTATATAACTGGCTAAAGCATAGCTTAAAGAAGTGCAACATTGACGTTGACACTTGGGAGACACTCACCCGGAACTGGCTTCTAGTCATGGTCAACAGCCTCCTGCTGCACCTGGAAATATCTGTCCTCACTGTAATAGAACTTGTGGTCCAAGTATCAGCCTTATCAGCCAGCTGAGGGTACACAGTTCCCATGGAAGATGATCATACTCCTCAACGAGTGATCACCATCATCATCATCACCTGAGACCCATTCCTCCTTCCCCACCATAATAACAACACAGTAGCTAATGATTCCAGTAGGGAATTTATAGAAGGTAAGTGTTCCAAGGCCATTTTTATATTGCACTCAGACAAACCCAAGGGCTAAAAAGAAAAAAGTTCAATTCAGTGCAGTCTCCCGCCTGAGTCTTCTGCTAAACTTCTGATCACATGAAATAATTGTAGTCAATCAAGGATAAAGGAGAAATACTATGTGACTTGCATCATGTGATATTGTGTATTTGACCTATCACAACAAATGAAGTGTTAATTTGAAATACATCACAGAAAATGGTTTGAAAAAAATGTAAAACTATGCAGAGAGAGGGAAAAGCTTTTCCAGAAAGTTTGCAAATATAGATAATATTCAGTTTGCCAGCACAACTAGAGGACAAAACAAGGATAATTTTGGGTGCTTCTGCAGCTTGTATCAAACAGCTTGAACAGATCTATTGACCTCCACTTCTTTTTTTGTTTGTTTCTTTTGTGTGTGTGTGTGTGTGTGTGTGTGTGTGTGTGTGTGTGTGTACATCTTATTGATAGTGCAATCAGTTGTTATTCTAAAGGGCTGATCTTTCCTTTATATATATGAATAGAAAGAACTTAAAAAAAAAAGACTGAACATTTTCAAAGACTGTTTGACCTTCAAAGGTTTTATTTTATTTGTTGGGAAAGTACTGATGCAATGAAAAAAAAAGCCAGCTGCATTTTCAATGAGACAGTGTCTACTTCAGATAAACCTAAAACTCGCCAGAAGTAAATAAACCAAATGGGGTAAAGAAAACTTTAGTAGGAGAGAAAGGTGTCAAAAGACAGACCTAAAAAGAGACAGGGAAAAGAACAAAGAGGAAAATGTTTGGATGTGTGAAGAAAAAGCCTGAGGAAGAATAGAAAGACAAACTAGTAATTATCAATAAAAAATAGAAGGTAATGGTCAGACCAGGAAATAGGTTGAAAGATTGTACTGCAGAAAAGGCCTAAATTAAACCCCTTGATCAAATAAAACACCCACTGATGCCAAGATTTAGACACTGTCCTCCTTTTAAAAATATGTTTAAACTTGACAGCCCTAACAGTGTTAATTTTTTCTAAGTACTCACATATGTATTTTTTGATTGTTCACAATAAACATCTTGTGATGTGATGTGTTACATCTGGGTCCCAACAGGCCTCACAAATCCATCTGGGAGCCCCAGCTCCATGTATGTTCTGCAGGGATGTAGAAGTAGAAAGAGAAGAACAAACGCTCAGGGAACATGTTAGGCTCAGTAATTTATCAGACCCAACCCCTGGGTACAAAAGAAAAAAGAAATTGCAGAAGATTAGTAGGGAAGGGCCTTACTGCAAGGGACAGGAAAATGTATACCAAAAAAAGAAAAGTTCTGTTTTTAAAGACTTTAGATAATTTTTTGCATTTCCACAGAGAAATCAACTAAAGAAAATAGTTTATTGCATTTGCCATACCTAAATCCAGGCATTGAAAATCTAAGAAAACAGAACATGTGTATCACCAAAGATGACTCACCACAACCTTTTCAGTGACCATCCTCCAAAAGGGAATGTTTCAAACAAGGCCAAAATTAATGAAAATACTAGCAAGCAAAGGTGATATGTTGCACATCAGCCTATCTACCTCATGCTTCTGCTTGGTAGGCAACTTGCTCCCCCAAAGGAAGGAATTCAGAATTCTTAGCAATAACAAATGAAAAGTCTGGCCACGGGATTTTGCACAGAACACTTATCAAGTTCATTCTGAACATCCATCATTGAGACTGAATGAAAGTCACCCAAAAGGAGAGTTCCTCTGCCCTCTCATGGAGGATGCCATCATCTCAGAACAAAGTGTTCTGCTGTAGACCAATAAGCTAAGTTTTGTTACTTTTGGGCTTGAATAATTTAATGAACTTGACGTAGGGTTACCTTTAAGGATCACTTAACTACTTTAACTGGTGCAGAGTGTGGATGTCCAACTTCCAAGTAGGTTAAGTCAATGTGAGCATGTAAGGCTGTGTGTTCACTGGAAAGTTTTGGTGACAAAAGTACTGTCAACATTTAAAAGTTGCCAATAAGAAAGTCACCAAATCATGAATACACTGCCACACTCTGTCAATATATAGCCACATTGTTAGCTCTCCCATCGACAGAAAGAGCAAAGCAACGTGGTTATGCATTCCACAGTGCCTAGTGTCACCTTCAATTGCAAGGCACTGTGGGAGAGCACAATATAGTGTGTCCTTTTCCTTGCTTCATGTTCCACACCCAGTTGCTGAGACTCCCATGAGCCTCCGGACTTGAGAGTAGTTCATGGCTGCCTATTGCACCTGCAGTGAGCCCTTCTTCCTCGTCTGCTTTCACCTCTTCATCAAGAATTTTTGCAGCTGGGTTAAGTCCTGTTTCTGTTCATTCTCTACCTTCAGAAGTATTGACAGGGTCCTTGCCTGCAGACGGAGGGTACCCAACCAGGATTGTGTCCAGTTCTATGTAAAAATGGCATGTTTTTGCTACAGCACCAGACTAGCTGTTTGCTTGCCTCATCTTCTGGTATGACTGCTAGTGTTCCATTATCTTAGCTCTGCATTTGAAAGTGTCTCGCTCATATTCCATCTCATAAAAGACTGAAGAAATGTGACCATACATGTCCCAGTTCCTGTGGGTCACTCGAAGTTGTCATTGCACTGATACTTCATCCCACTCAATGATGAGATCCAGAAGCTCTGAGGTACTCCAAGCAGGAGAGCGTCTTGAGTGACAGCCACCCCTGATTCCCTGAGAAGATGCCATGAGGAGCACTACATGCTGAGCAAGACAAAAGGAAATGGATTTTAAAGTTTCTGGATCTTTTGACTGGAGGGGCACATTTCTGTTTATCTGTTTATGTGGCTGCAGAGCAGCAGAGTTTAATATGCTGGCCAGAGTGGCTAATCAGGCATTGTGGGAAACATCCTGGAATTCAATATACTAAACAAAAAAAGCTACTATAGTACACACTGTGTGACAGTCAGCAGAAAAGGGAAGGGGAGAAAAAAAGTCTCTCATGGAGGTGGACTTTTTTTGTTGCTGAAATTGGGCATTTTTCGTGACTTTTCTCACATTGCAATGTAAACGGGATTTGTTGATAATAAGAGGTTTTTTGTGACAAAATTTGCCAGTGTAGTCAAGCCCTACATCATATGCTGTGTCTTGACTTCACATCTGGAGAGATGAAGGGAGATTATGATTATCCAGGAAGCTGTAAATAACATGAGAGCTGGTCACCCCTGAGACTGCCTTGCCTGTTGTTTTCATTTCATCCAGCTGCAAATCTCTCGCTCTGTCCCCATATACGAACTGGGGGGCAGTAGAGCGTGGTTTGTGGTAGCTGCACGAACCTATAACTCAGTTATCCTAATTTGTCATTGCCCAGATCTGGTGATTTGTTAATTTTGACATTTGGCTAAATTCAGTCAGTAGCCAGAAACCTCCTTTGTTTAGACTTAAAAACCATCCTGTGTTTGTCCAAGAGCTATTGTAGGAGTATCACTCCCCCTTTCATTTTCTCAAACCTTTCAAAGTCTATAGCTTATCCTTTTAATATTTAGTCTCTTTTTATTTGTTTTTGCTCACCTTGTTTCAGTTGCAGCCTTTATCTCAAAATTCCCTGTCTGCACATATTTGTCTTTTGGCTCTAGTATTTCCAGTGTTGCATTTATATGCAGATACCATAGCTACTCTCCAACCTACCCCAGGTTACCTCCTTATTACTTTCTCTCCTCCCCCATTAAATTTCCTTAGTTTTTTTTCTCATAACTTAAATCCTTTTGTTTCCTTGAGGGCCAATGTTATCTAGTTCACTACTTAAAATTATTTCCTCTCCAACCACCCATCTGTTTATTTAGCTTGTTTCTTCTTTCTGCTACCAGCCTCTCTCTATAGATTACCCCATGCACTAATTTAAATTCTCTGACACAGCTGTATTCATTCTCTGAACTAGCATAGACTATTATGTTCCAGCTGTTGTAAAAAGAAACCTAGTGCCCACAAATCTACATCATTCTTGTTTGAACTACTTTTTA